ATGAGCTGGAGTCGAACCGGTGACAATCCGGGTCGGATTGACCATTATAGCACCAGGGTGGCAGCTGACATCGATTGCCGGTTTACGATGCAAACGCATGATGTTCATAACTGGACATTGCTATATATAAATGTTATACGGAAATCCGGTAACCGTTGTTTATCGGTTTGAAAAATAAAATTTGGTTACCGGTTCATGCGAAAAAAACCAGCAGCGATTTTAACAACCAAAATGAGTCAACTTGTGTGTACGTACATTTATACGCACACACACACATATATACACTACACTACTGCATGCGTAGTGTAGTGTGTATGCGGGCGTATGAATGTGCATACATATATGATGCTGGATATTTACATGAAAAATTATTGTATATATTGTATATATATGTGTGTGTGTTGGTGTGTGCTTTGTGTTACATACGTGTGTGTGTGTGTACATATGTGTGAGCAGCGCTCACGGAGTGACAATTATCTGAACCGGTCCTGGGCCTCCCCTAGGTCGACTCAGCGTCAATTGAGTACCCGGTGCGATGTGTTAAAAGATTGCCACGAGGGAGACAAAGGCGGCCGGGCGTGGTGCTGGCCACCCACCCTCTCGTGTGCCGTGCCGGCCTTCATAGGGTGCTCGCTAACAACGCTTACCCCAACAGTCTGTTAAGGCTATAGGGGGGATCTTTGTCTTTCGATATATATCATACGTGCGTGCGGTGTGTAGACTAAAGCGTTGCATACAATTTCCGAATCGTAGCCACCACCACCATCATCATCACAATCGCGACCGTCAGTGATGACACAGACACACAAATACTACACGTGTGTGTGCGTGTGTGCGACACCGAGGACAAAGACAAAGATGCCGCGTGCAGGCAAGTGCTGTTTGCGAGTAGCACCGATGAAGGCCGTTACGGCACACGAGGGGGTGGTGAGGGTGGGTGAATCAGCGCCACGCCCGACCGCCTTTGTCTCCCCAGTGGCGTTGTTTACATCATCTGCGTCGACCTAGTTGGAGGCCCAGGACCGGTTCAGATAATCGTCACCGGTGTTGGCCGTGAGCGGGAGACGATCTCGGCGCTAACCACTGCGCCACCGTTCCCCACAATAGAGAACGAACGCACACACACACACACGCGCGCGTACCCCAGTGCAATACATACACACATACTCCTTGACATACACACAGACGCTTGCACACACACGCTGACACGCCACAAACACACAATCCTTGACATACACGCAGACATGTATGCATACGCACATGACGTTTACGCACACCACAAGCAGACACGTATACACAAATTATGTACGTGCAATATAGCCACACCATTTGCATACGTACATATATACATATATATATACACATACTCACAAATGACACACATCACAATGACCTCACAGAAGCAAACACGTATATATATACACGCGCACACAAACATACACTACATCTCATGCACCATGTACATACACACTAAATCTCATGAACCAAACAAAGACAAAGGCCCCCCGTATAGCCTTAACATTATTTCGGGGCAAGTGTTGTCGCTAGCGAGTACCCCATATGAAATCCGGAGCGGCACACAAAGAGGGGTGGGGGTGGGGGGGTGTGACCAGGACCACGCACGTACGGACACACACAAAGACAAAGATCCCCCGTATAACCTTAACAGACTGTTGGGGCAAGTGCTGTTTGCGAGCACCTATGAAGGCCAGAACGGCACACGAAGGGAGTGAGTGGCCAGCACCACGCCCGGCCGCCTTTGTCTCCCTCGCGGCGATGTTTTACGCACCGCGCCAGGTACTCGTTTGAGGCTGAGTCGACCTAGAAGAGGCCCAGAACCGGTTCAGATAATCATCACCGGTATTGGCCGTGAGCGGGAATCGAACCCGGGTCGACAGGTTTTCGTAGCGCAGCGTAGCGCTAACCACAACACCACCGCTCCCCGCACACACACACACACAGAGACACACGCACATTAACATCACTCTGACGCTCGTCCCTACCCGCGTGTCCCATCAGATGCTCCGGGTTCCCGGGTCGGAACATCGCGGCAGCAGCAGCAGCAGCAGGAGGAGGAGGAAGGAGTCGCGGTGGCTGCGTGGAGCGCGCGTGTCTCTGCGTCTCTCTGTGTGCGTCTCTCTGTGCGTGTCTCTGCGCGTCTCTCTGTGTGCGTCTCTCTGTGTGCGTCTCTCTGCGCGTGTCTCTGTGAGTGACTCTGTGCGTGTCTCTGCGTCTCTCTGTGCGTGTCTCTGCGTCTCTCTGTGTGCGTCTCTCTGCGCGTGTCTCTGTGAGTGACTCTGTGCGTGTCTCTGTGCGTGTCTCTGTGCGTGTCTCTGATGCTCTGTGCGTGTCTCTGCGCGTGTCTCTGTGCGTGTCTCTGCGTCTCTCTGCGCGTGTCTCTGACGCTCTGTGCCTGTCTCTGTGCGTGTCTCTGTGCGTCTCTCTGCGTCTCTCTCTGTGCGTATCTCTGTGCGTCTCTCTGCGTCTCTCTCTGTGCGTGTTTCTGTGCGTGTCTCTGTGCGTGTCTCTGACGCTCTGTGCGTGTCTCCGCGTCTCTCTGCGCGTGTCTCTGTGCGTGTCTTTGTGTCTCTCTGTGAGTGTCTCTGTGTCTCTCTGCGCGTCTCTCTGTGTCTCTCTGCGCGTGTCTCTGTGCGTGCCTCTGTGTCTCTCTGCGCGTCTCTCTGTGTCTCTCTGCGCGTGTCTCTGTGCGTGTCTCTGTGCCTGTCTCTGCGTGTCTCGCTGTGCGTGTCTCTGTGCGTGTCTCTGTGTCTCTCTGTGAGTGTCTCTGTGTCTCTCTGTGAGTGTCTCTCTCTGTGCGTGTCTCTGCGCGTGTCTCTGACGCTCTGCGCGTGTCTGTCTGCTGAGTCTCTGCGTGTGTCTCTGTATGTCTCGTGCGCGTGTCTCTCTCTCTCTGCGTGTGTGTCTCTGCGCGTCTGTGCGTCTCTAAGTGTGTCTCTGTCAATGTATGGATGTGTCTCTATGTGCGGATCTGTGTGCGTGTGTCTGTGTGTTTGTGCATGTGTCTTTGTGTCTGTGTGTTCGTGTGTAGTCTCTGTATGTAGGTGTGGGTGTGTATGTGTGTGTCTTTGTTTGCCTGTGTATGTGCCTCTGTCTGTGTGGAGTCTTTGTGTGGGTCTCAAAGTGTGTGTTAGTCACTCGATGTATGTATGCGTCTGTGTGTGTGTTAAAGTCGCTGTGTGTAGGTGCGTGTGTGCGTCTCGGTGTGTTTGAGTGTGTGTGTGTGTGTATCTCCGTGTGTGCCTTTGTACGTGTGTGTGTGTATCTACGTGTGTGCCTTTGTACGTGTGTGTGAGTGTGTACATGTATCTACGTGTGTGCCTTTGTAAGTGTGTGTGAGTGTGTGTATGTATCTATGTGTGTGTCTTTGTAAGTGTGTGCGTGTGTGTGTATTTACGTATGTGTCTTTGTAAGTGTGTGCGTGTGTGCGTGTATCTCCGTGTGTGCCTTTGTAAGTGTGTGTGAGTGTGTGCATGTATCTATGTGTGTGTATTTGTAAGTGTGTGTGCGTGTGTGTGTATCTCCGTGTGTGCCTTTGTAAGTGTGTGTGAGTGTGTGTGTATCTACGTGTGTGTCTTTGTAAGTGTGTGTGTGTGTGTATCTACGTGTGTGCCTTTGTAAGTGTGTGTGTGTATGTATCTGTGTGTGTGTGTCTTTGTAAGTGTGTGTGTGTGTATCTGTGTGTGTGTCTTTGTAAGTGTGTGTGAGTGTGTGTATGTATCTGTGTGTGTGTGTCTTTGTAAGTGTGTGTGAGTGTGCGTGTATCTACGTGTGTGCCTTTGTAAGTGTGTGCTTGTCGCTGTGTGTCTAACGTTCGTCCGTACGTACGCGTGCTCGTTCTTGTGTGGCTACGTGTGCACCTAGACTGGCACAGGCGCTGTGTGTTATGTCTCGGTGCGTGTTGTGTCTGTGTGTTATATCTGTGTGTTGTGTATGTGTGTTATGGCTACGTCTTATGTCTGTGTATTGTGTCTGTGTGTTGTGTCTGTGTGTTGTGTCTGTGTGTTATGTCTGTGTGCTGTGTTTATGTGTTATGTCTGTGTGTTGTGTATATGTGTTCTGTATGTGTGTTGTGTCTGTATGCTGTGTTTGTGTGTTGTGTCTGTGTGTTGTGTTTGTGTGTTATGTCTGTGTGTCAGTGTATGCGTATGTGTCAGTGTGTGTGTCAGTGTTTGTCAGTGTGTGTGTTAGAGTGTGTGTGTCAGTGTGTGTGTATCAGTGTGTGTGTCAGTGTGTGTGCGTGTGTGTCAGTGTGTGTCAGTGTGTGTGTCAGTGTGTGTGTGTCAGTGTGTGTGTATCAGTGTGTGTGTCAGTGTGTGCGTGTGTGTCAGTTTGTGTGTCTGTGTGTGTGTCAGTGTGTGCGCGCGTGTCAGTGTGCGCGCGTGTCAGTATATGCGCGCGTGTCAGTGTATGTGTCAGTGTGTGCGCGCGTGTCAGTGCGCGTGTCAGTGCGTGCCCCTGTCTGTCAAGGGCTCTCCGGGGTGAGGGGGACCTTTGTCTTTGTGTGTCCCCGTATTTGTCCTTCGATGTCGCGTCGTCGGTGCGTCCGCGCGCGTGCCCGCGACTCTGCTTCTCTGCGCGCGCGCGTGAACCATCAACGTGAACTCTCTCCGCGTGTGTCACTCCGCCCTCTCGCGCGCCTGTAAGTATGCCGATGTGTACGCAGTCTGCACCGTCCGTCCCTTTCGCTAATCCGCGTGCGTGCGGCGTGTGCGTGTGTGTACGTCTGTCAAGGGCTGGACGTGCACGTAGCCTGGCACAAGCGCGCGCGAGTCACGTCACGGCCACTTAGTGGCGGTTGTTGTTGTTGTTGTGTTTGTCTCTCTACCTGGCTCAATGCCGCGTGTCGCTCTCTCTCTCTCTCGTGCGCGTGTGCGCGTGTGTCAGTCCGCGTGCGTGTGCGCGTGTGTCAGTCCGCGTGCGTGCCGATGATGACGAGCGCCGCGGAGAGGAGCCGCACGACTTCAATGCCCGCCTCTGCACATCGCCCCCCCCACCCCCCGAGTGTAAACCGCGCGTGGACAGATCGTGTAGGGGTCGCTCTCCCGCCCGTGCGCACTTCTGTGTACACGCGCGTGTGTGCGTGTGTGTGTGCGTGTGTGTGAGAGAGAGAGAGGAGAGAGACTGCAGGGCTGGTGAGAGTGAGTAGGAGAGAGAGAGAGTTGCTGCCGCACATTGCACTCTAGAAAACTCTGCCGCTTTGCGCTCTCTCTCTCTCTGCGCGTCTCCCCATCTCCTCCTCCTCTCGCTCTAACGGGGGGGGGGGGGGGGCTGGCTCAATGAAGCGATGCTAAAGACATTAGCTCAGACAACGCCCTTATAGGCTATCGGGACTGCTAGATGATAAAAGCGAGATAAGTCACAATAAGATCAAACAAGGTTTATCCCAGCCCCCCCCCCCCCCCCCAGCCTCACCCCCCCCCACACTTCCACCGCGGACAGCGACACGGAAACCTCCACGGGCTGAGCAACGCGGGCGCTCCGGACCCGCCGGGTTTCCCATCCGCCCGGGTCCCCGTCAGCTGCGTCGTGGGGGGGGGGGGGGGGCTTGCGAAGAGTAAACATCGCCGGGGGGCGTTCGATTGCTCGCGGACGCCGTTGTCGAGATCGAGGGAGCCAAGCTACGAGTTCATCGTGGTGGTGATGGTGGTGATGACGACGGTGATTAATGGTGATGGTGACGATGATGACATTCGATGTTTCGCGTGATAGCTGCTGCGATGGCACGGCGGTGCACAAGCACACGGAGCACGCGACCTGAAGCTGCAACCACATCGGGACAAAGGCTCCTTCTGCATGAGGCCATTGCCCGGAACGTCGCCTGTTGTCTGCTACACCTGTCGGGCGGTGTTGTCGACGGATGTAATGCCACGTGGTGCGTTGTGTACAATTCTATACTGTATATGTATTTTGTTAGATCTTTGTGATAGGCTCACAAATATTGATATTGATACTGCTGCTGCTGCTGCTGTGTTTGAGTGGCGTAGCGACACAAACGCTGGGTCGAATGAGGGTTCTGCTTCCACACTTCCTTTGCTTTAAATCAAGCGTTGATTTGCACAGCAGCGTTTTAAATATATATATAGACACAGTACTACACACACACATATGTACGATATACGCACGGAATACATATGCGCAGCATATAAACACACAACCATGAAAGACGCGCACACATACACAAATATATACGATCGTATACAATATTCGCACCCACTTATATACACACACACACGTAATTAAATGCGTGCAGCATCTGTATAATGCGTGCATATGCAGACACATGAATATTGTACGCACGCAGGCAAACGCTCACGATTTACCGAAAAACACACACGCGTGACACACGGACTCACGCGCATAGAGTCCAGGTACACGCACAAAGACAAAGATCTCCCATATAGCCTTAACAGACTGCAGGGGCAAGTGCTGTTAGCGAGCACCTATTAAGGCCGGCACGGCACACGATGGGGTGGGTGGCCAGCACCACGCCCGACCGCCTTTGTCTCCCCAGTAGCGATGTTTACACACCGCACCAGGTGCTCATTTGAGGCTGAGTCTACCTAGGGGAGGCCCAGGACCGGTTCAGATAATCGTCACTGGAGTTGGCCGTGAGCAGGAATCGAACTCGGGTCGCCGGGTTCGTAGCGCAGCGCGCTGACCGCTACACCACCGCTCCCCACGCGCGCACACACACACAGACACACACACCCATTCACACTCACGCGACAACACAAAGACAAAGCTCCCCCGTAAAGTCTGTAACAGACTGTTGGGGCAAGTGCCCTTAGCGAGTAGCACCGATTAAGGCTGGCGCGACACACGAAAGGGGTGAGGTGACAGGCACCACGCCCGACCACCTTTGTCTCCCCAATGCCACAACATGCAACAACAACAACCGCCATTAGCCACTAAGTGGCGGTGAAGTCACCACGGTGCTTGTGCCAGGCTATGTGCACGTTGAGGCCACGTGAAGTGTCGAACGCCCGCTGACACATCTGCACACGCGCGCACGCATATTCATATATATATACACGCTCGCGTAGAACACTACCGCACGTACGGGTTTATAAAAAAAAGAAAATACATTACAGAGCAACATACACCGTCATAATAATCGTTAAAATGCCAGATGGCACTTATTTGCAGCCCATGGTAAAATCCACTGCTGGATGATGGCCTCCCCACACCCCGTGTCGGTTGATGGATGATCGTCTGACCATACTTGCATCACGCTGGTCAGCGCGAGTTGGTTGAGGTGTAGGAGGTTGGCGACCGGCTCGGCTGTCATCACTCGCCACTGATGAACGCCGTGGTGGCCAGGGCTCTAAACTCGCCCTCCCTGGGTGTCACTGCGCGATGCGCCGGGTTCTGCATGCGGGCGCACGCTTAGTTGAACGTCGCCTCGCTTGCAAACTGTCAGCGCCAGATACACTGGTCAACACACTTTTTTCTGGCATAAAGTAATTCCAACGATTTAAGGTTTTTTGGGGTGCTGATTCCAAATCTGGCATCAGTTTTTGTCTATCGCATCAGGTTTTTGAGATATCAAATATTGCATTTTCAATAAAAACTGCGGAAGAAAAATATTAAATAAATGTGGATATCTACATAAAATGATATTATAAACACACTATCCTAAAAATACAGCACCATATTTTAACACTAAAGCAGTCACTGACTCGCAACAACTTGCAATCATAAGTGACAGAGTTAATTTCGGGTAAATCAATGAAAATGGGGTATGCCGATAGCATAAAAATGATGTGATAGAGCAAATCTGAGATCAGATTTGGAATCAGCACCCTGAAATTAGTCTAAAACAGCTGCAAAAGTCCAGGCCAGAAAAAAATGTGTTATTTTTTGTTGACCAGTGTAATTTACTGAGAGAAGCCTCGCCTCCCTCTTCAAGGGGATCCTTCGATCGGATGATGTTTATCCAATCCCCCTAATGAGTGTTTGACAACGTAAATAACAACACCAGACAGAGTCGTTTTAAAAGAAAAAAATGTCACACTCCGCGTGGGCTCAAAGATTTACCCCGAGCCTGGCACAAGCGTCGTGCACGGTGACTATTTAGACTTTGTTTGGATGATTTTGCTGCTATAAATGTCCAAACGACGAACCACTTTGTTGTTGCACTATCATTTGTGGCCAGGTCGCTTTTGAAAAATAAGTAAATACCTCAATGGGCTCTGTCTGGTATAGAATGGGGATGATTTCGTTTTATTGACACGTGTGATTCGTTTACCTTTCTTGGACCTTGCACTCCACTCGTGTGTTTGTGTATTGTTTGTTGTTGTTGTGACGTTCTTACCCACCCCTACTGGACATCTGCGCAAAAGAGCTTTAGAGCTCATCGGATTCCTCCAGTGTACATAAATATTCTGTCACCGCCACTTAGTGGCAAACGGCGCTTGTTGTTGTTATTGTTGTTCTACGCAGTGTGTACTTAAGCACGCAGACCGTCATGGTTATAACCGGCCATGTTCAATTCGCTGTTGGATGAAGCCCTGTCCACGCAGCAGCCATTAAATAATCCACCCAGCACCGGCGCACGAGCTGATCCCCCCCGCCCGCCCGCTCCATCTCCTCCAGTGGATGTCCTCTCGGGCGAGTCCCATACATTGTGCTGCCACTCCGCGGTTAGTCTCGACCACGGGTCTCCATCATCGTCCCGTCTAGCCGTGGCGCGTCCTGCCCCAGGAACACCTGCTACGTGATGTCTCGAACGTGCGCATGTTCTCGACTCCACGTGCTCCTCTGTCTGTTTGTCAGTGTCGATCGAGGAATGGCCCCACCTCGTGTTTCTCTGCGCACTGTTCAGCTTCGCCGTACACATACAACAAACTCAACTTGTTCGTCATTTTATATACACACACGCACACACACAAAGATCCCCCGTGTTGCCTGAAATGACTGTTGGGGCAAGTGCTGTATGCGGGTAGCACAAATGAAGGCCGGCACGGCACACGAGGGGGCTGGGTGACCAACCACACGCCCGGCCACCCTTTTGTTTACACACCGATGCAGGTGCCCATTTGAGGCTGAGTCTCTCTAGGGGAGACCCAGAGCCGGGTTAAATATTCGCCACTGTTATTGGTCGTGAGCGCGAATCGAACTCGGATCGCTGGGTTCCTAGAGCAGCGCGCTAACCACTACACTACAGCTCCCCTATATAAAAGACAAAGATCCCCCGTGTAGCCTTGACGGACTGTTGGGGCAAGTGCTGTTAGCGAGCCCCTATGAAGGCCGTCACGGCACACGAGCGGGTGGGTGGCCAGCACCACGCCGGCAATGCCTTTGTCTCCCGAGTGGCGGGGGGGTGGTCAGACATTTGTGACGATGTGTGACCAGGGGGGGGGGGGTGAGAAATGTGACGTCACATCAAAATGCGCAACTTTAAATAAATACAGACAACACGTTCTACTTAATTAAATAGACTTTTTAACAAATGTTTTCTCCTACAACATCAGAGTGCAGCGCCACATTAAATACGCACTACAATATAGTTTAAAGCGATTTGAAGCATGTTTTATTTTTTTTTTGGGGGGGGGGGGGGCAGAGCTTTGTGACGTCATATTTGAGGGGGGGGTCTGATTTTTGTGACGCCCTGTGACGAGGGGGGGGGGGGTCAAAAATCGTCATTTATGGACGGCCCCTTACACATGGCAGCGAGTACTCATTTGAGGCTGAGTCGACCGCACGAGGAGACGCTTGTTACAATCAGCGTCTACCGCCAGCGCCTCGACGGTTTCAGGTCAACTCCGTCCACAACGAAGGAGGCGCTATTCTACCCCGAATTGGCTCGAAGCGGTAATGGAAATTCCACATTCCGATGGCGAATTGCAAATGCACGAATTGTTACTGATGTACCGAATGTTGAGCCTCTTTCGCACCGTACGTAGTCAACCGTGCTAATCGGAGGTGCAACGATGGTGATGATGATGATGAAAATGGATATGCGATGAATCCCTAAGAC